TACGATTAAGCTGATTTAGATCAGTAACGTCTACCTGAAATAAAAGTTTTTGGATCCACTGATCGTCTGTTAGTCTGGATAGTGAACGCCTTTCTCAAGGAGAAATGCTTTAATTTCCGGAAAAACGGACGAAACGTTTTAAAACGTTCCTTCTTGATAACCAACGTACCTTGTTATGAAGCAGAAGATCAATGTACTCACTCTCCATTTCAAATAAAAATGATTTGAATTGGCGATGATTAAGAGATTTAGCTAAAATGGAGTTGATAATGGTAATCACTAATTCCATAACTTTACAAATTTCTTTCGGAAATGTTTGCACACAAAGCACTTCTTGGTGAATGATACAATAGTAAAAACAAGTATCTCGTTATTGATTTTTCTTTCAAAATAGCAACAACCCCTTTTCTTACGCCGGTCTTACTTTTTGGCCCATCTGTTGAAATCAACACAATTTTATCGAGGGGAATATGGTGTTTATCCATACACTCGATTACAGCATTGGCGATGTCTTCTCCACGCGTCTGACCTTAGAGTGGCAATAATCCTTAAAAGTTCTTCTTTAGGACCTGAATGAGACATAAATCTTACAAAAAGTGAAACTTGCACTGTATCATTTATGTCACATGACTCGTCAAATGCTATTGATAAATTTCGAAACCAATTCATTCTTCGATATGATCGAGATGGGTCTCTGGTTTTATATACGAACACATTTTAATTGTTCTATCTTTAATGGTTTTGGAAGACAATGGTAACTCTTTAATTCTTTTCAGAAATCGTCTTTACTCTTAAAATCCCGAAATAGCTCTTCGGATGCATTTATAAAACAATTTTTTATGTATTCGTAGTCTATGTACGTTTTCCTCTCTTAGCAATCTCTTGGCTGCAAACAAAACTTGCCATAAGTTGCTGGAAGATTGCAATTAGTTATTAAACACAGAAGTTGACGACTCTTCATTCTTCTGAAGTTCCTCAACTGCTTTCTTCTTTGCATCACCGGTAGGATATTTAGTGCTAAATGACGCACACTTTCTTGTAAAGTGTCTCTCTAAATTTGACTTGCGCGAATTTGCTATGCGCGAATTTCTCCTTATAAATAAGACATGACTTGCGCGAATTTGCTATGCGCGAATTTCTCCTTATAAATAAGACATTTGCTTGCTCTAAATTTGCTATGCGCGAATTTCTCCTTATAAATAAGACATGTCGAAAGTCCACTCAAGTTTTGAATAAACGCAAAATTCTCGGTCCACTCAACTTTAATTTCGCGGTTTTCATCTTCCATTTTTCTTTGCTTTTTTTTGGTATTCATGTTAATTATTCCAAATATATTTTTAAAAATATTTCAAATATATTTTTTCTAAAGCCACCAGTACAAAATTATTATCATTATAAATTATGAAAATAAAAATTTAAAAAAAGTCTTTTTAAAAATACAATTTTACTAATTATGTAACTGCACTAAAAAAAATAATTTTTTTCCATCATCAGAAATAACCACTTTAAATATACCAAAAATGAAGAAAACTTCCACTTGGACAAATAGTTATCGAAAACGATTACAATTTTGTACGGAAACCACGAACATACATAGAAGGTGTAATATAATGTATAAAATACATGTAAGATGTGCAGCAGATTAAAAATACAACAACTTTTTAATAAGACAGGACAACAAGCAGAACGGTAGATAAGACAAAAACTGTGCACACTGCAACTGCTGCTCTGTATGCCAATTTTTACCTTCACTACTTATAAAAGGCATGCAATAGCATTCCAGTACTTTACAGTTTATGTTACGTTTACGAAAACTATAAAATAAACTCGATGTTCGTTAGGAATTTACAACAATATAAAATTTAATTACCTACTTATCTTTTACTCAAACCAAAAATTATACAGTTCTCGATTTATAGAAGAATTTTATTACAAAATAAATAATTTCTTTCTAACCAAGTTTTTTTTTTTAAATGAAAATATTATTGCGCCTTCCGTGGATATTTGTACCAGAGCCGCACTTAAGGAACCAAAGAGCCACATGCGGCTCTGGAGCCGCACTTTGCCGACCACTGATGTAGGGGAAGATTAGAAATAGATATTGTCATGCATTGAATGCTTCCTAGCAGTAAATACGATGTTCCAGCAACATAACGCAGCCGAATCGGTAGGCTAGAATGCTACAGGCAACGCGTTGTAAAGGAAGGTGAGGTGCCCTAAAAGGTATTTTTCCAGACCATGAAAATGTTTTCTGGAAACAGGAAATTCTAGGTAAAGCTTACGATAAAGTCACAGGAGTGCAAAAACACAAAATGAGGACATGTATTTAACACTAATAACCAGAAGAAACAGTAGTATGAACGCTAAACCTTTGCAACAACAGCTTTAGAGCTACTGGCATCAGCGTTTCAGTGAAACAGGTTCAAAACGGACACCCTTATGTTGATTTACATGGCCCAGTTTTCTATTATAGTTTGTGTTCCGTTAACAACAGATCATTGTGTTTCCCAAAGAAAATAGACACAACAGCACTTGGAATGAAGGTAAAATCAATACATTTGGAAAGAAAACTACACTCGAAATAATCCTGCATTTTTGAATGAAAAGAAGTGTTCAGTTTTCAGTTTGCAAGAAGCAAAATCAGGTAAATTGTATCTTGAATCAGGTAAAATGTATCTTGAATTTTCATAAAGAATATTTTGCTGAAAATCAGCTTTAAAATATTATATTTATGAATAGAATTTATAATTACATGTATTTAAAAGCTGGCTATAGTATTTCCGTATTGGTATATTTAAATATTGCAAGGAATATGAAATAATGAAATGTACATGATAAAATTTGAAATTCATCAGATTTAACATTTGAAATGGAAATTTTTCCAGATATATTTTGCGAACAGTTCATATCTTACAGTCATAATTCAAATCTGATTCATTGATGTATATAGCTCTATAATATAATCAGTATAGTCAATAAGTATAATCAGTAAATAAATTATATTAATCAATTATTAATTTATCCCAGTGCCAGATAAAAGTTGCAAAAGATAAAAGTTGAAACAGTTATTGCTGATACTGGCAAAATCAGATACTTTGCTAAGATTTAGTTATATTATGAATATCCAGGGCACTGACACATGGTAAAATTTATGCGCCGGCTTATTTTAAACCTGAGTAGAAAACAGAGAAACAGTGTCAATCTCAGTAGAAAACAGAGAGATTTTATCATTTTTAAGAAATATTTATTTTGCAGAGCAAAATTATTCGTTGAATTCAGTCCTTAAAATCTCCTCTGTTTTATTTTCATCTGTGCTTCAAATTTCTAAAAACAGATTCTTCACATAATATAAACGTTTAATACATTATCTAAAATATGCTCGGAAATAAGAATAAATATATTTAAAATAAGTCAACTTTATTAAACATTTTAAACAAACCTAAACAACTCTTGTGTAAACTTCGAAGCTTAAACCTTGCCTTTGTGTAACACTGAAGCCTAAAAGGAATACAGATTGCACTAAATTTAGTGCTACGGCAACGAAGAATAATTTCTTCCTGCTTGAATGTTATGCGGAGACAGCATACCAGATACGAAAAACGTGGTCGAACATCTTACGGATAGGATAGGGATAGGGAGATATACCACACAGGATGGGGAGAAAAATACCACAGCGGACCAGAACGGAGAATCTAAGCCTAGCATTCAGTCACTCTTTGATAACCTCATTGACTTCATACTTTATGGTACAAAATATAGTTTTCGGTCAGTGGAAACCATGCCACTTATTAAAATTCTTTAGATCTGAGAAATCAGTTTATTATTCATTTTTATGGTCAGTGTAAAACATGCACGTTTTTGCTTCCCGGGAAAAAATAGAAAGAAAACAAGAATAAAATTTAATTTTTTTCTATCTCCCTATTTAATAATTCCTTTTTCCAAGTGTGGTTTTCAATTCTCATAGCTTAACAACATTTATGGATCATGTATCAGTTCGCAGAACCTTTTCTCATCCGCAGTTTGCATCTAAAACTATATAACATGGTCTAGCTGCATTAAGCAATATAATTAACTAATCAAAACAACAAGTTAAAAGAAAAAATAATCAAAATTCACAATTTAAAGATAATTCTGAAGAAAAACAATTAAACACTTAGTAATGTAAACTAAGTAATATAAAATGTCAATTGAATCATTGGAGCCATATCACTAAGTAGAAACTAGTGGGAATCACCTGCCAACCAGTTCTTAATTTCCTCGAAGGTTTCAGTTCGAACTGGAACCAATGCTTAAGATTTTAAACGCATAAGCCAAATTTGGCTTTACACAACTGAGATCCACTGCCTTAGTTCAAATATTTGAATGTTTCAGATAACAAAGGCATGGATAATAAAGGCATATCTAAGCCGACATTTTCAAATTTGAAGACCCCGAAAATGTTTACTTTTAAATCGGATTATGTAATAAGACTGAGTGAAAAAAACCCCACTCAACATAACTTTTATAAATGCAGTCATCACCAAGGAGTTGCCAAGAAAAGTATAACTAGTCTTATTTTCTACCCTCGCCAGATATCTAAAATCTGAATAGTTAGTCTCCTTTTCTTAAACTGAAATCTTTCTCTACAGTGTATCGTTTCAGAAATTAAAGAAATGGTAATGAAGCATTTAGAGAATATTCCAAACGTTTAAATGTTTACGAAATGATTCAGAAACTTGAAGAATATGCTCTAAAATTTTAAAAGACACCACTTAAAAGCGAATATTTTTAATAATACCCTTCACTAAATTCGGAAGTTTCTCATTTTCGCAATTATTACAGAGTTTGATGCGGCAGTTGCAAGAAAATGCTAAAAGTATATTGGTCGACTAATAAATGGATGTTTCAAGAAACCCGCCAGCTTAATTATTCAGTTGTTCAACGAGGACCACGACAAAACATATGTTTGCAACATAAAACAGTAAGTGAAAGACGGTTGATATGGAGGTGAAAATACTTACCATACTGGCATTCGTTCCCGAAGAAACCTTTAGGACAAATGCAGGTGGCTGGAGGTTGGCATATTCCTCCATTTTTGCAATTTACTCTACATAAATGCTTCACTGAAATGGAACAACTGATTATTAAAAAGCACACAGAATGAAAACTAAATTCATGCGATAAATTTTGGAATAAATTTTAAATCTAAAGCTATATAATTTGTGCTGCAGTAATTTTATTAATAATCTTTTTACTATGGTAAAATAACAAAAATATTTTACTAAACATATTAGCTTGCATTTTTATTAAACATTAAAACATTGGTTTTAAATCCTTCAAGGTGGCATGTGCTTAGCTATGAACTGCCAGTTTCAAAAACCGCTGTTTTATTGTAAATTTAATATTTTGATTTTTCTTCAAGTTTTTAAAGAAGTTTACTTATTATTCTGAAAATTAAAAGATTTTTCATCAGAAGAAATTATTCTTGAATTTCAATGGACAATTTATATTTAAGATTTCAGACAACTAACATTTTTTCCTTTACACATCACAGTTTGTAAGGAATCTTATGTTATTTAACCACTTATTATAAATTCAGTTTACTATAATTTCATTTTTCTGTATTCCTCACCAGAACGAAAATTTGTAGAGAGCATCTAAACTAAGGCTTTTGGATTTGAGATAGAGTATTTCTGTCGTCGCGTACAAGCTATGTGGTTAGTTTCCCGTCAGCTCTAACTAAACTAAACTCAGTAGCGTAAACAGCCCTAATGGGCCAAGGCCTGCAGTGCCCCGATATCCGCTTTCTTGACCGTACCAAGTACCAAGTTCGCTTGGGGACTAAATACTAGGGGGTTCTGCGACAAGCTGACCACTTGTTCTGGGTATATGCTTACGCACCCCGAGGCCCACGGTCCCGTCAGCTCTAACAGTTGTAATTATTCGGCTTTGCGGTCTCTCGCTGCCAACACTTAAATTCTGATGCGCCGGTATAATTAATGAGCCAGCTCTTAGTATAGTATTTAATTGTGTACTCATTGACTAGTGTCCAACGTGTCATTTAAACTGGATTGTCCTATTTATTTGCATCATCATGAGTTGTGGTTACTTTAACCTTCTCAAGGCTTTATCTTTTTTTTTTTTTTTTTTTTTTGTCAATAGTCAAGCGTTGCATTCTTTGCTTCCCCATTGCAAAGGACACTTTAAATAATTCTGCGCAAATCCTCAGAACAGAATTTTTCTTTCTTGAACAAGCATATCTGTTAACACAAATAATATGCATTTCAAGAAAACATGTTTAAGAGGGAAGTTTCATGGATAATAAGCGAATGAAGAACTATACAAAAAATTAAAAAACGTGTTTGAAGAGCAAATTTAGCGAAATAATTATCAGACATAAATATCAAAGTGCCTAATTATTTCAAGTATCAATATACGAAAGCTTAAGAACTCTCCAGTTTCATTGCTGAACGTAAACTGGAACATCCTGCGATAAAGAAACTCTACTATCATCAGCATTACAGCTTCAAATTCGAATAGAGTCCAAACAAAGCAGGATGAAAAGTTTTTCTATAATTTGCAATTTTTTTATTTTTAGAAGAGTTTAAAGTTTTATAAATTATATAAAGCATGGAAGTTACGCACCTCAATTAATTAATTTCTGAAAATAAAATTTTATTTGGATATGTCCTTGTATTGATCGAATCTTAGAACTATTCAATTACTAAGTTTTGTTTAATTGGAATTTTGTTAGAATTTTTCATTTATTTACAGAAACTTAATAAACTATGTAATTACCATATTTATAACATTAGAAAAATCTTAATTTATTTTTCATGATTGTTACGTTAGGTACGCTACCATAGCATTTCTATTTAACCATTTATCTTTCAAACGAAAACTAAATACTGCTTTTGAAAAGCTTCTTCATACTTCTTGATAGCTTATACCTTTTTTATATACTTTTGTTTACATGTATCTGTGATAGGTATAATTCATACATCCACAAGTGATAATTTTTATAAGCATTCGCTCCGCTATGGTACGAAATAAGAAATAGTTCTAAATGCATACTTCACTACCTCGGTTACAAAATTATCACTTTCTCACCATTTAACAGGAAATTATTAATATTCATTTGCGTATAGAATAGATTATTAGGAGCTTAATTTCTCTCACATAAGAAATATAATCATTTTAATTTGTAAAACACTCGAACGTGATTTCTCTTTTGATAGTTTTCCGGTAAAATTTGTTATATTATTGTAACATTTCAAACGAAAACGTTGCATACAAACTAAATATATGGCCATCATATGAATCTGAATTTATCACACGCGGAGTTAGAATAAAAGAATGAATTACACATACCACTTACCGTACTGGCACAGGCTTCCGTAATATCCTCTTGCGCAATGACATATGTATGGAGGTTTGCAAGTTCCGCCGTTCATGCACTGCACTTTACATTCTGCTTTGATGGAAACTGTAATAAAACAACAATAGAAGACACATTTTTGCACACAATTGATAAAAACACTGCAGATACATGATAATAGTGGCATTTTCTAACACTTATGGAGAAAAACCACTTACTTAAAATATGAGTTTATACCTAACAGATTACTACCGACCGTAGTATATCACATACTGATCATATTCAAACTCATGCTCTAATTAGACTTAAAAGGTACATACGAGATTATGTTATCGGCCTTAGGATCACCTATACAGTGCATATAAATCCTATAGAAGCTTATACTTCCTAATTATTAGCTTCCGATAATATATTGAGCCAAGAGAAGATAATGAGCTCGTATTATTTGATAATAATATGCAAGTTGCTCAGTTGCATCAAGCATGCATAGTTATAGAACTAACAATTATCCGCCACTTACGATAATGCATAAATTCTATGACAGCGTTACTGAATATAATTTCTCTCAAACAAGGAAAACGCACTGGATCGCGTCCTTTCACATTTCAATACAGAGTAATATTTCCATTACTTTGGGATTACCATTATTTTGGGAGAAAATTCTGAGAATTATATGTCATGTTTTTAAGAGATTTATTTACGTTTACCATTTAATTTTTAGATTAAATTAGAATTTTGGGGATATAATACTTAATCAAAAGAACACCCGTATTTTTAAGAACCGCGCAGTTAAGATATATTGAATACGAAACTCTAACACTTTTAAAATACGATTAGATACAAATACAATAAAGTAAATATAAGAAAAAACGCAGTAGTGAGAAATATAAATTAATATAAGGGAAATATTTCGATGGATTAAAGAAAAACTTTCGTAAAAACGGATCAAAATAAAGAATGTCTCAAAAATTAAGGCTTTTTTTAGACTTATTTTGTAACATTGCAATGCATGTGGCGCCACATAAAGCACTAAACATGCCGTGCATGTCATTCACTTGTCTCGGAGAAGTGAGATGGTTAGCATGTATGCGCTGTGAAAGCGTACTAACAAATTAATAAAAATAACTACTGCATAAAGGTTAAAATCAAAAAAGAAGTTCCGACTTTGAAACTGAAACAAACAAGTTGTAAGGCTCTAACAGAGCATAATATTCGTGCAAAACATTGACTCTTAAGTTCCATCCCACAAATCTCAGATGATTCAATATCTGAAACCAAACGACCATGAGCAAAGTAATTTCGGTACAGTATTTCGGGCAAAACCAGGATTACTGATCAGTTCATTGAAAAGGTGTAGACATCAGATGAGGCCCATTTGCATTCCATCTGCTATCTGGCTTCGTCAATAATCAAACTTTCAGACGCTGAGCACTTCACAATTTGCAGTTAATACCCAAAGTTCCGTTGCACAGCCATAAAATGACTGCCAGGGTCTTTATCTGGCATCCTAGGCCCTTATTTACTTCGAAGACAGTGAAGGTAATCATGAATTCCAAACGTTATGTTTCTATGGTGAGTAAATTCCTTTCTCAACAAGTGAATCACTTTCCACACATTCTTGACAACACCTGGTAAACAACATCACGCACATCTCGAGAGTCAATGGTAGCACAGAGAATTTTGTTTGACAGCAAAACTGATTTCTCGCTTTATTGACATTTCCCAACGTCCAGACCTCTCGGTCTGCGATTCCTTTTTGTAGGGTCACCTCAAAAGAAAGATGTTGAAAAGTCGACCAAATAGAATTCAAAAGTCAGTTGAGGAAATGAAGACACGAATCATAGACGAAATTAACCAGATTCCTAAGAACATGTTAGGTCGAGCAATGGACGATGTTACTAGATGGCTTCAGGAATGTTTAGAAAAATACCGTAGCCACCTTACTGACGTCATCTTCGAGAAGAGGCCATCTCGAGAACGTGAGTAAATTAGTTTAGTAATGACATACTCTATACTATTTATAATCATGAATAGATCGGTAAATAAAAGAATAACTTCATCACCTTCTTTAGATTACCATTCCAACAGAAACTCGTATTTTTTATATAGCTGTAAGACAAATTGTAATATCCGCGAATAAAATTATTTTTAAAGTATTAGCTCTTGAATTATAAATATAATAAATCATTAATAAACAAACATTATTAATAAATAAACAGATGAAGTGTTTAAAAACCGTTGCAGTCACTTTTTCCTAAATTAAATACCTACGCTAATTCCGGATATATTTTTCACGCTGGGGAACTGGACTAAAAACAACTTTAGCAGTTGAGGGAAATGCTCTAATTAATTTATTAACGGATTTCAGTTCATTTTGCTTTACTATGTTTTCTTTTTATGACGCCATAAAACTCTGCACAACTCTGTGCTCATTTTAAGAATGTACATATTATAACCTAAAATGAGCGTGGATTACAGGCATTCCTTGATTATCGGAATTTTTCTAGAAAGTTTTAGATAGAGTCATGGCGCTTTAGTTAATTGGCTATATCTAGAGGCATTAAACAACACAGAATAGTTTAATTCGAAATGACATGAAAAATAAAAATTTAAAATTTAATGAAAACACAGAATTGCTTTCATTCTTTAGTTACGGTATTAATATTACAAGATAAAGTATAGTTCTAATGATTTATGTTCTTCAATCAGAAGAACGTATAGTAATATATTTATATTACACCTACCATTAAACTTTATAGTAGAGAAATTTATAACAAGCATTCTGATTTTAGTACTAATGGATCGTTCCTAGTTTTAACCGGATGCAAAATAATCGAAATTAAGGATGTCCTCCTAAAAATAATTTCAAATCTTTTCTTTAAAGTAAATTTAAAGTATCCAATGCATGTATTGCAATAAATACTATGTTAATGAGAAAACAGATTATAAGGTATTTTCTTCCTCCCTTCTGAATTCTTTCGTGGTATAGCTGGAATCACGTTCGACGCATATTCGGGAGGTCTGAAGTTAGAATCCCAGCGACGACATTGTACATTTTTCACGTTCATGCCTAGATTTAACCTAATGTTTCAACATGAAATAATTTCATAGTGAAAATTAATCTGGTGATTCGTCAGGATATTGAAGGAATACGACTTGAAGGAATTACACAAATTTTATGGAAAACCAGATGAAATAAAAAATACCTAAAATATAAACAGAAATTCTAAACGGATATCTGCCTCTTACATAAATAATGGTCCACCATAGGCAGAATGATAATGTTGCTAAACACTGGTAGTTCAGTTCGAGGTTTGAATTTAGCAAATGGGCTGGCTGCATGGGCGTTTCGTGGTTCTCATGTGTAACGTGTATACGAGCCCGTTTCCCTTAAAATTTCCTCCACGAAAGGCATCCCACCCCTTAGGCAGACAGCCCTCGAGGCTATGCCGTAATCACATAAACGAAACCATAAATAAGGAATTTAGAAAATGAAATTTTAGTTATTAGAAAAAAGATGTAAACTTCAATCTTAGTCCGAAGTTTGCTTTAAAAAACGTTTACAGCCGTTTACAGTGGAAGACGCCAAATCCCGCTTTGAGACTAATAGCCTATTTGGGCTGGACGGTGAAAAGCTAACTTTAATTAAAAAAAATATATTTTCTTGCTTTATTTTTTAACTTATGAGATGGCTTATTTCCGGATGTAAAAAGATCTGATGTGGACACCACATGACTTGTACAGCCTATTATATCATGCACATTTTTGCTGCATTTCATTGAAACTTATTTTTTCGAATTCTAGAGATATATTTCTCATTCAATTAATTCAGTTCTCACTTAGCGGCAAGGAAAAAATACATAAAAACTCAAAAATTCTTCATTAAAAATTGTAAAATAGAGAAAAACTTAAAACACCAGAGTTAAAAACAGTTTTTACAATTAAAATTAGAGTTTAAACTCATTAATACAAGACAGCAAGACAGATTTTTCGGTGCACAAAACGTTTGACCCCACTCGGCAAAAAGGCACTGAATTTGGTGCAGAAACTGATTTAATACACTATGTTATGTTACTAAGTTTCAAATATAAACAAATGGCGTCGGCGTTAGGCTTAGTGAAATTTAAATAACTTTTAAATTGTTGATAATTTTATAACTATTGTATGCGGACCAACTAAATGTAAAGGAAACATTAACCGGAAAGTAAAAACAATAAAATTTAATCTTTTTCAAAGCGAAAAATGCACAGTTTACCAACATATAAAAATAAAAAAAAAACTTAGCTTACCGAGGCGGGTAACAGTGTGGGTATATATATATATATTATATACTGTTTAGGAAATAAATATATATATATATATATATATATAGTTTACATACTTTTCATGCTGCCGATTGCAAGCAAAAAGGAAGGTGCAAATCTACATGTTATAGCAGTCCTATACACAAAATTTCAACGTCCAGAGATTATACCCGTTTTTGAGTTATGCGAGATACATACATACGTACGTACGTACGCGAAAAAATCTCTTCTGAATTCATTTTAAATCCATTTCACAATCCATTTTGGGAAAAGCAGCCCGTTATTCTGTCCGCACGTACAGATGTCACGCAAAAACTTTCTTCAAATGGAATCGAGAGCTATCAAAATAGATTTTTTGTTGAAATACGATACTTTTTCGCTATTAATAGTTCTTTTCCTTCGTACAAGGAAGTAAAAATGGAAAGAATTACTTTCGTTACGTAAGAAAAGGAACTTTTATTTAAATATTAATATATTATTATATTGTATTTACACATGAGCATAATATAATAATATAGTACATTGCTTACATGATGCTTACTGCCAGCTTACATGATTTCCTATTTGAAGCAGTTATTGAAGCAAATAAAATTCAGCCATCCGGGGTGGATTAAGAAAAACCATTCTGGCACTCGATATGAAAGAATCATTTATTAATCATTTTATTACTTTTTTGAATTGCTAAAACATTGCGATGAAAGCAATGTTTTAGCAATTCAAAAAAGTGCTAATGGAAAGAAACGAAAGGTTTACCAACAGAGGAGTCAAAAATAAACGTTTAATGTAAAATTACTTTTCAAATAT